GTAAGAGCCATGTGTTCAATATTTCTAAAATGATGAAATCCACACAGTGAAATTCACATTTCCTCCCTCCCTCCCTCCCTCCCTCCCTCCCTTCCTTCCTTCCTTCCTTCTTTCCTTCCTTCCTTTTCCATGAGCTTCTGTTATATCTTCAAAATTACATGCCATCTTCCTTCTTTCTCTGCACATGGATGAACAATCAGAAAGAGGATTTTTCTTTTTGCTTGGGGGGTGGACTGTGTAATTACTCTAATCATTTTCCTAAAAGTGATTTCACCATTAACTTCTCTTCTCCCCATAGAAGTAGAAACATATTTTACAAAACTATGTTTAGTTTAATTTACACATCCTTTTATGAACAGACCAAGTTCTTTAAGGGCATTTATTCTGCTTCATATAAATAATTGATCAGCCAAGTTAATTTACTTCTGCCTGACTTGGTCAACCTTAATTAACTGCCCTGGAATCAAGACTGAACTTTTTGTTAGCTTAAAATCTTTCACAAGCATGATAACAAGGGCTTTATTTTCCTTAAATTTTCAGCATCAACACTGTAACCAAGGAAATAATCATAATAATAAAGCCCTGCTTTAATTTACTATAAATACATTGGCCTGGACATTATGAATTTTCCAGAATACTTCCAGAGAGCAGCTCTGCTAGCAACAGCAGTAAATAAGCATGCTAAACTCAGTCCTTGTCCTTTTCTACAGGGCCCTCCAGCACAAAATCGAACCTCTGAAACCCGTAGCTCTGTAATGTTTCCAAGCAGGAGGAGAAGTGGGTCATTTTGGCATCTTTAGGCTTTTTGACATCTATGCAATTGCAGCATCGGCCTTTGTAGGGTTATGTTGAATGGATCACGTGATTTAAACAGGCTCAGCTCATCTGGCAATACCATACAGGAAGGCAGAGGAAGGTTTGGTCTTGTTTCTAGAGGAAGGACTTGTTTGTGGGTATGGTGTGGCCATACCTTCGTATTAAGGCACTTTGTACGATTCTGCAGTGTTTCTTGCCGTCAGTTTGTCATGGAGCAAGGCATTTGGTTCGTTATAGGGTTAGTTACTCCCCCAGAGAGAAGCAGAGGTTATATAAACTGGGTGCCTGGGACAAGCTTCCTTGAAGAAAAGAGGGTGCAACATCCCATGATAGAGAAGATAGATGCCTCTCCTATACATTTCAGATGACTCTAATAATGGAAACTCAAAAACACAGTTGCTTGCAAATGAGTGCAGATGCTTTATATCATTGTATTTTAATGCTTTTCCTTGTCCACCTGCCCCTTTCATTGCTGTCTTTTCTAGAATTTTTTTAGTTTTCTTTTCATTAGTTCCCTTATTCACCACCCAGCACAGGCCTTTACAAACTGGAGATTCTTAAGTCATTTATTGAATGGACAAGTTCATGTCTGAAACAGAGAATAGTGACAGCTACATCCATCCCTTAACCGATTGAGCTTTAATTTTCCGATCTGTGAAATGGGGATAACATTTACCTGCCTTATCTCCCTCCTAGCCTTGTTATGAGTTTGAAAAGCACATCAGCGGGCTTTTGCAATTTGTGAAGTGTGATAAAGATATAAAGGCTTATTAAATGACTTGGAGCGTTTGATAGAAATACTGCTGGCCCAGACACTGATGGAAATGTTCTTAGACATTGACACTCCTATTTTTTCACATGTGCTTTTCGAAAAGCTGTTTTCTCCTGATTGGTGTGGGAGATTATGGGAAATTTTAAATCTTCCAACCTACATACTACTGTTAGCACTTGACTAATTAAGGACATCCTCAGACCAAAATAATCCTTTATGCAATTTTGGTCCCAAAGCCTGCACTCTCACAAACCTGATTCACAAGCCAAGCTGCTTGGCTTGATGCCTGCAAAACTTGTACTGGAGGACTTGGCAGTCAGCTTTGGAACTGCATGGAGCAAAAACAGGGCCTTCTCATCAAATTGTGTATTGGAGACTGTTCTTACTCCACCCACCAGAATGGTGTCTCATCAAGGAAACAAAAGCAGGACCAGTCTCTTAGACACCTGCTCTCAGGCCTGGGATCCCGATGACCGCATAGTCTGAAAGCAACATTCTACCTGCAGCTCTCTTCCCATCACGACAGGATATTTGGCTAAATATGCCTCATTCTGAGGGCAGGTGTAGAGTTTATATATATACAGTGCTTTTGTCTTTTCAGGATCAAGTCCTTGGTATGGGGAGGTATTCCCAGAAAGAAAAATATCCCTATACCTATTTTATCTATATCTATAGATTTTTATTTACATATATTTGAGATATATCTTAGTAATTAGATGGATTTCTTTGCTACCTACTCTAAGACAAATGCTGTCTTGCGTAAACATTTAACACTGTGCCTCTTCCTTAGTTCCTCCCCTGCCCCATTTTTTTTTGAGACAGAGTCTTGCTCTGTCACATGCTCTCTGCTCACTGAAACCTTGGCCTCCTGGGTTCAAGCACTTCTCCTGCCTTAGCCTCCGTAGTAGCTGGGATTACAGGCATATGCCACCATGCCCGCCTAATTTTTTTGTATTTTTAGCAGAGACTGGTTTCACCATGTTGGCTAGGCTGGCCTCAAACTCCTGACCTCAAGTGATCTGCCTGCCTTGGCCTCCCAAAGTGCTGGGATTAAAGGCATGAAACACTGTACCCAGCTCTTTTCCTTTAGTTCTGTACAAAGGGCAAGTTTGTGGAAGAGAGACTGAAACACCCAGGGAAAAGTACCTAGGTTTCACAAATTCATTTCTTGAAATGAATGTTTTGGTGATGAACAAGGCACATGTGTTGTCACAAATTATCTTGTTACCTGGTTCTTATATCTTAGGGAAGATTTTGGTTATTTTTGATAGATTCTTTACTCTATGGTCAGTAAGAATATAAGTGCAGTTTCTAAAGGACTATAATTATTAGAAAGTCTGATCTGAAGAGATGAGAAATAAAAATAGTAAAAATCAAGAAACGAGAGTGAATCAGCTGTTGCTTCTGAGTTTGTTTCCCACCTGCTAGTGAAAAATGCCACTCTTAATCTACTTCAGAATTGGATCAACTTAAAAAATATATACATCTTTTGGGTTTATGAAGTCTGTATCAAGTTGGATCATGCTATGCAGTGAAAGGAAATGAAGAAAGATGTGAATTTTTCTGCCTTTAATTTTTCCATTTGGTTTTTGTGCAAGTCTGCAGAAAACAGACTTCATCCAGTTTCTAGCAAGAAAACAATGTCCTCTAAAGATACCCAAAGATTGAAATTTCCCTGTTGTCTCATTTCATGTACGGGGCAGAAATCTGTAGCATTGGTTGTACATATGTCCTTCCACAATTGGAACACATTTAGGTAAAAATTTTCTGCCCTTTAATCTGGGATTGGTATTTCACGTTAAAGTCTTAATTACTCAGGCATTTCTCAGCTTTCACATTTGAACCCCTCACTTCCTTTTATGACCGGTCTATGCACTTGGGGCATGACCCTGCCATTTTCATTGTTTTGCCCCCCACTGAACCTCAACTTTAAAAATCCTCGTTGTGGGTAAGAACTTGGACTTTACTGAACTGGTTCAAATCCTGATTCCACCATTACTAGCTGTGACTTGTAGTGGACAAATTAAATAACTTGTGGAGCCTTAGTTTTCTCATCTGCAAACTGGGGGTAGCAATTGTCATCCGCACTAAATTAGACAATGTGTGTAAATCACCCACATTGCGGCCTGCCTGAACGAACACTGGTGATCAGTAGATGGTAACAGTTGGTATTAACAAATGTTATCTGTCTTTTGTCATCTTTGGACATGTTTTCTGAGCCAAGTGCTGAATTGGATCTCTGGGAAAATGGTTTTGTGCCCAGAGAGTAATAAGAATGAATGTGAAATGTATTTACGCCCAAGTGATATTTTATAGCTGCTCATTTTGCACTATATATTTTTCTTTTTTTTTTTTTTCTTTTGTTTTGAGACGGAGTCTCACTCTGTTGCTGTGGCTCTGTTGCCCAGGCTGGAGTGCAATGCTAAATCTCGGATCACTGCAACCTCCACCTCCTGGGTTCAAGCAATTCTCATGCCTCAGCTTCCCGAGTAGCTGGGATTACAGGTGCCTGCCACCATGCCTGGCTAAATTTTTTTTGTTTTGTTTTGTATTTCTAGTAGAGACAGGGTTTCAGCATGCTGGCCAGGCTGGTCTCGAACTCCTGACCTTAAGTGTTCCACCCGACTCAGCCTCAAGCGTGAGCCACCACGCCCAGCCCCATATATATATATATATATATATATTTTTTTTTTTTTTTTCTATTAGACTTTTAGTACTTTTGACCAGACACCGTGGCTCACAGCTGTAATCACAGCACTTTAGGAGGCTGAGGCGGGCAGATCATCTGAGGTCATGAATTCAAAACCAGCCTGGCCAACATGGTAAAACCCTGTCTCTACTAAAAATTCAAAAATGAACTGGGCATGGGGGTGGGTGCCAGTAATCCTAGCTACTCGGGAGGATGAGGAAGGAGAATTACTTGAGTCCGGGAGACGGAGGTTGCAGTGAGTAGAGCTCTTGCCACTGCACTTCAGCCTGGGCAACAGAGCGAGGCTCTGTCTCAAAAAAAAAAAAGTGTAATATAAACAAATAGTGCCTGCACATGTTGAAATTTAATGTTTATACCTAATATGCTCTATAGGATGACTTGCTGGTTTTTGAACAAAGAAACCAGGTATAAGAAAAATTTAATCTTGAATTCTAGGTTTACCCACAAATATTTAATTTTTCTAAGGGTAATAATATATTTAAAACAATACTACTGAAACTTAAATTGGGGAATGACAGTTTCAGACTTTGAACCTGGGGGCCTGGCCCACTAATGAGGGGATAAATGAGGGAAAGAAAATGACAACTGTTTACAGATTTTGGCAACATTTAAAGCAAGGCCCTTCTCCTTATGCACAACAACTGTTTTAACAGCTGCTTTTTTTTTCTTCCCCCTCCTCCCCATCTTGGAAATCCTTGTATCAGGTTTTTGAGTCATGATGCAAGAATCTGGGACTGAGACAAAAAGTAACGGTTCAGCCATCCAGAATGGGTCCGGCGGCAGCAACCACTTATTAGAGTGCGGCGGTCTTCGGGAGGGGCGGTCCAACGGAGAGACGCCGGCCGTGGACATCGGGGCAGCCGACCTCGCCCACGCGCAGCAGCAGCAGCAACAGGTACTGGGCTTCGGACTCCTGGGAAGTGGAGGGTGGTGGGTGCGAATTTTACCGCTGAATTTTGCACTTAACCACGATCAGTGTTTTCTGCTCACCTGTCTGTTCATCTTTCTGTCAGCGGGATCTCGTAAACTATCAGTCCTCTAGGGGTCCCAGCAGTTGGCTTAAGAGACTAATTTTCAAGCCCTTGGGAGTTGGAAGGCTTGCAGGTCCCCTTGTGGGGAGCAGTTGTTGAGAGGAAGTTGGAGTGGACCTGTGTCAGCTTAATCTGTCCCTGTTTGGAATAAAATTACTCTTTGGAGAAACGGTTCTCAGGGCTTTCATACAAAAATAAAAATAAAGCAAAAAAAACAGGCTTAAGCCTATGGAGAAGAAAATAAAGGCTACGGAATAAAAAGTGAGTAAGGAGAGTTGAAATAAATACATAGGGCCAGGTGTGATGGCTGACGCCTGTAATTCCAGCACTTTGGGAGGCCGAGGCAGGCAGATCACGAGGTCAGGAGTTCAAGACCAGCCTGGCCAACGTGGTGAAACCCCGTCTCTACTAAAATACAAAAAAGTAGCCAGGGGTGGTGGCACGTGCCTGTATTCCCAGCTACTAGGGAGGCTGAGGCAGGAGAATGGGTTGAACCTAGGATGGCAGAGGTTGCAGTGAGCCGAAATTGTGCCACTACACTCCAGCCTGGGCAACAGCAAGACTCGGTTCTCCTCCCCCCAAAAAAAAAAAAGAAAAGAAAAGAAAGAAAAACGTAAAAATGCAGGCAGAAATGGTTAGATAACAGCCAAAATCTAGAATATGGGCATCACTGCAGGAAGTTGCTTCCCTCTACCTGTAGGATTTGGGGGTATAAGGGTGTTTACATATGTTCTCTATATTCATGTAGCAGTGGGTTTGTGGCTAAGTCATACTGTTTTAAATTGTCTCTTATTAGTGCCTCCCCAAAATGTATATAAGTTGGGACATACTCATTCCTGTTAGTCATACTTTTTACAGGTACAGAACTAGATATCTGTGAGTGACTGGTAAAATATTTCCAAATGGTACAGGTGACCATTGGACATCAGGGCAGTGATGTCCAACAAAACCCAAGAAATTGTGTTTTATTGTCAAAATGTTGATAAAAATTCAAATAAGTAAACAGCATTTGCTTGAAGACTGGCTTTGGTTTCACAGCCTCTCTTGGAATCAGGAAGTATTATTAGGTTTTGTTAATAATAATAGACGGTTTGTGACCAGTTTTGTTCTTGATTTACTTATTCAAAACATAGTTGTGGTGCCACTCAGAAACAGGTGAATTAAAAAGAATGATGTATCTTTCGGTCTTTCTGAAAGCTGCAGGAACTTTTGTGAGGAAGGGGAAGATAAAGACAAAGTGCCTCTCAAACCGTTTTCTTGGAATTTGTGTCAGAGAAGCTAGCTAAGCTTATGTTTGGGATGCAACTTTGAGACAGGCTGTAAACCATGTTTTATTTCCTTTTTGCTAAGAGGTGTTTTTTTTTTTTTTTTTTTTTTTTTTGGAAATGGAGTCTTGATCTGTCACCAGACTGGAGTGCAGTGGCGCGATCTTGGCTCACTGCAACCTCCGACTCCCTGGCTCCAGTGATTCTCCTGCCTCTGTCTCCTGAGTAGCTGGGACTACAGGCACATGCCACCATACTCAGATAATTTTTATATTTTTTTTAGTAGAGACGAGGTTTCACCATGTTGGCCAGGAAGACCTCATGATCCACCTGCCTTGGCCTTCTAAGGTGCTGGGATTAAGGCATGAGCCACCGCGCCTGGCTGAGTTTTTTTAAAATACCAGGAATGATTAGATTGTTAGCTCCTTACAAGGTGGTGGAACCAACATGAGACTATGGAACCTGTTGGGAAAAAGATGCAACAAAGCTTAAGAAAGGAAAAGTCACAGACCAGCAAAAGTCTTAATTCAGAGGACTTCCCGCAAGTGATTTGATGTTTCTTTCATTGGCAACCCAGACGCATTTGTGCCTGTACCACAGGCTCACTTCAGCTGGAATTTGTGATGTTTGTTGTATATAAACTTTGTGCATTTTGGTTAGTGCAGGTGGCCAAATTCCAACCAGTGAGGTTGTTACCAAAACCTAGCAGTAGATAGCAAAAGGGTCTTTGTGCATTTCATGTGATGTCCTCAGCCATTATATTGAGAATAAATAATGTTTTTGAATGCCATCTTCTATGGCCTTACCAGAGAAGGGTCAAAATTGACTATTTCTTTTCTTTTCTTTTTTGTTATTTTGAGACGGAGGCTCGCTCTGTTGCCATGCTGGAGTGCAGTGGCACCGTCTCAGCCCACTGCAACCTCTGCCTCCTGGGTTCAAGCAATTCTCCTGCCTCAGCCTCCCAAGTAGCTAGGATTACAGGCACACGCCAACATGCCCAGCTAATTTTTGTATTTTTAGTCCAGATGTGGTTTCACCATGTTGGCCAGGATGCTCTCCATCTCTTCACCTCATGATCCGCCCACCTCGGCCTCCCAAAGTGCTGGGATTACAGGTGTGCACCACCATGCCCAGCCAAGATTGACTGTTTCTTTATGAAGCACTTGAGGTGGGGCTACTGACTGATGTGGTGATAGTAAATAATTAGTAGTTAGAGTACATTAATTAAATAAATGGGAAATTAACTTCTGATTTTTATTTGAGGAGCTAAAAATCATTCAGGTTCTCAAAGTAGTGAGTCAGCCAAAAAGATTTACATATAAACCATCAAAACATGTACATATACATGTACACACACATAGACAACAGCGATAAATTGGCTACATAGAATAAAGTTATAAAAGCATATTTCACCAGCATCTTCCTTAAAAAGTATCAGTTGCAAACGTATTCATCCACATCTTCCCTCTTTACCTTCACTGTGACCACTTTGGGAAATTTGTTGTTATGGGTTATTGATATAAAGGTCAAGAAATGTCTTATCTGTTTTTAAATGTTTTATGACAGTGTTTTCTCCATATGCCATTGACACATTTTGGAAAGAAAGCAGTAAGGTCTATCATTGTGGCTAAAACACCATGTATTGTGGTTGGCAAGCCCTTTGAGGTCTTTTAAAATATAACATTCACAGCTGTTCGACTCCCCTAAGTATATGATAAGGCTCTTAACAGGTCGTTGGGGAAAAGGGAAATCTGTAGATGAAATAAGAAAAACTACAGGATTGGAAATATTTCTACAGGACTAGAGTCATCAGTGTTTTTCCTCCAGACTGAAAACTACAACAATTAGACAGTTTGGAGAAATGTGAGCATTCTGCAATGGACTATGGTTGTTTTCATCATTTTCATTCTACAGGTTTTTACTTGAAGTGAGAATACCAGCAGTGAGAAAATCACAGCCATGCTGAATTCATTACTGCGGTAGTCACACAAAACCGCGGATAAAATTTCAATAACTGCAGGCCACAGTTGAGTAAACAGTTGCACTGAAATTTAATTCCTGTTGACTTTTCCCCCATTCCTCGCCAGGGGCACATTCTGATTCCGTAGTACAAAGACAACAGGGGTTACAGCTTTGATTAATGTAGGACAGTGGAAGAGAATTAGAACTGTAAAATATGTTAGCAGTCCATGGAACACAAAGATCTGGCTTAAAAGCACTTGGTATAAAAACGAGTTAATTATGCTGTGTGTAATACTGAATGTTGGAGGATTCTCCAGTTGCACCAGTACCATCATTGAGGATACCGGGAGAGTTTTTACTTAGTGCCAGGATTTAAAATAAATAAAGGCAAACCTTTCCGTGTTTGCTACATATTATCAAAGATAATTACAGATTTTTCAGCAAATGCCCTTTTCAGAATGGGAGGGCCCCGCCAGAGATTCACTGTGGAGTGCACACATTCCATAGTTTGGTTTTTAAGTTGGCTTAATTGCTTTCTAATGGTATTGTTTTTTTCTAAAAATTAGTTGACAACTTAGAGAAATGGGGCAAATCTGGCTTTTCCATCTTCTTTTGAAAAATTAGAATATCTGGTAACCTTGGACTGATAGTCCCGCAAGGGCAACAATTGTTGGGAGATGAATTGCTACTGAAGACAGGGAGCCTGCAGCCCTCTAGCCTGCTCGCCTTCCCACCAGCAGCATTGCTCATTTATGCCTCTAGGTAGTGGAGTTGGCAATTCTGGGCTGGAAGGTAGACTCATCACTCAGAAGCCATCAGCCCAAGAGAGGTGCTGCCATTAGCTGGTAGAGCCTGCCAACACACTCACAAACTGTCTTCCTTCCTCAAGACTAAATGTATTATCTCCGTAATGTTTCAACTCTGTTTATGTCTGGGCCATGAAACTATTATAACAATAGTTTTCTAATAATATAATTTGATAGAGTTTCTGAGCATTTTCTTTTATCCATTGAGTAATTCTTTCCCCGATACCATAACTGCTTTTTATTTCCTATTATGCCTGCCCCATTTCTATGTCTGTAAAAGTTGTATTGGATATGCACTAGTCCATTATGAAACTCAGCAACAAATACTATTAGCAATGACTAAAGTGTTTTTTTTTCCTTAAAGAAAGGATTTTAAAATGTCCAGAACAATTTCATAAACTGTGTGGATTAATGCATTTTAAAAGTCTTGAATTTTAGAAAGCAGAATTTTATTTCCATATTGCTGCAAATGAGAGCTTTTTCAGATAAGCATATTACATAGAGCATAATGTTTAGAAGTTTCTCCATATACAGCATATGCTGTCAGGTCAATTAACAGAATGCATACTAGAAAATGTTTATTCAATAAAAATGAATAGCTGTTAAATAAAACAGCTATTTCTTAACAACATTCCATTTAATGATGAGGTTTTTGTGGGGTTTCGTTCTTTTTTTTTTTTTTTGGTACCACCTGGCAGTTTTATTGTCTGCAAGTGCGTATAGAGAGAGCTTTGCTTGCTGCAGTTTTGAGGTGTGGCCATCATTTTGTATGAAGAGGGCAGTTGGAAGGGAATCTGTGAGAGAAACATAAAAATAAGATATGCCGTATTT